AGCAGCTCGAAAACTTACATGAGTAGATAAATGGGGACTCTCACCCCGGTGGGAGGAAAAAGGCTGGCGGCGCCTTGCAAAGGAGATGGGAGCAGTTGCTGGTAACGCGGAACCCATGCACGCCCGAAAAAGGCACGAAGCAACGGAAACCCCGCCTTCTGCCAGCTGGGCTCTACTCTAAGAAGGAGGCAATGGCAAACCACTTCCGAAACACCCTGCCTTGAAAACTGCAGGGACTCGTCCAGGCAGTCACCACAGAATCGGTAACGATTGAGTGCGGATTTAAAAAAAAAAAAATGTGGTTCTCATGCTGCCTTGGCCTCTTAGGAGTTTCCTGAAAACCATGAACTTCTGAGGGCCTCTGCTATTCTCCAACTTTCAGCCAACTGTATTGCTAGATGTGCTGTTTTTTTCCAACCAGGGACAGGATGAGTGGTTGGGTGGCTGCTCCTCATGGCTGGCCTCACTTTAAAAGCAAAATTGTGACTCAGGAAGCTTGGATGCACACCTTTAATGTTGCATTATTTTTATGCAGTAGTGCTCATAGAACAGTGACACAGAATCTTGTTGTTTTAATGTACTTAGTTATTTTGAAAGGAAAGAGAAAAAAAGACAAAGGCATAGAAATTACAAAATACAGATATTACATGGAAAACTTTCAAGGGTAAAATAAGATAAAATTGAAAGTACAAACTATTCCAATTGGAGAAACACCTCACTTTTACCTTATTTATCAACTTGGATTAAAGGAAATATACAACAATTTAAGACTTCAGTACTTTCTGAGACAGAACCTAGAAAGGATTGTGCAAGGAAAGGCAAACCTTTTGGAGGCAATTGCTTGGTACAGTTATGACCTTGACCTTGGTTCTCTTGTACACGTCACAGAGTGCATGGTATGTGCTCAGGTGAACCGCATGGAAATTTTCTTTCAGTTATCAACCTCTGTGCAAAATATTCCGTGCTGGACAAACTTCTTGCAAGATATCCTGACAGATGCAAACAAAGCACTCGAGTCCTGACGTGCAGCATGAATGCTCCATTTTTATATGTGGCTATGGATACAACCTAAGATTCTTGCAAGAAAGTCCAGCTCAGTCGGGGGTTGGGGGGGCATTGTGATGTATCTAACAATAACAATGTGAAGGAATGCCTGTACATAAAAATACAAAAGTCCTTTCTGAGCATTTTGGAAGCAAAAGCTCAGTCAGCAATTGGTCTGACACAGCATTTTAGGCACCATTGAAAGGAATGGATTGGACATGTCAAAATTGCAAGGCCAGGACGATGATAGAGCTGCAACAATGAGTGGGTTGTGTATTGAAATCCAAGGTGGACTTATAGCGCAACATTCAAGAGATATGAACCCAGCACTACTCTTAGTCTCAGTTTAGACTTGAATGATGCTTATGTCAGCTCTTCCAGAAGTGAATTACTTCTTTGAAGTTGAAGAACTTCTTTACAGTATCAAATAATGTAATTCACTGTCCCTATATATGGCTTGTTTTTGTTTTTGTTTTAGTGCCTTCGAGTCCGTCTTGACTCATGGCAACTGCCTGGACAAGTCCCTGCAGTTTTCTTGGCAAGATTTCGGAAGTGGTTTGCCCTTGCCTCCTTCCCAGGGTTGAGAGAGAGGGACTGGCCCAAGGTCACCCAGCTGGCCTCATGCCTAAGGTGGGACTAGAACTCACGGTCTCCTGGTTTCTAGCCTGATGCCTTAACCACTACACCAAACTGGCTGTCTTATATATGATTATCTTCATCCAAAACTATGCTGAAACACTGTGTGTCAGCACACTTTGAAGCTCTTATGCCCATGTTTTTCTGCTTCAGGAATATCCATAATATGCTGTCTGAGATTATTCTTATGGGAAAGAGATAGAATTTTAATATCTCAAATAGAGTTCTATGGCTGTGCTGCTCACAAAAAATTGGAACCGATCCACTACATTTCAAAACTGTTGCAATCATCATAAAATGACAAAAGTGAAGCTGCAGGGCTTCTTCAGACCTCTCTCAATAACTTGCAAGATGCCTGAAATCAATACAACCTCAGGTGTGATGGTACTGTGACAATGGCCCAGTCTTGTGATATAGCTCAAGCATTTGAAACTGATGTGTACCGTAAGTGAAGAAGTTTCATAATTACTTTTGTGAGGATCAAAAACCAGCATTTGCAGAGGACCAGTTTAGAGTCCAAATATTCTTTCCAACACTAGACATAGCAGTGTCTCAGATAAAACACAGAGTTGCAGGCCTAACTAAAGTAGTTTGACATTAATTGATATTAATGTAGCTGTTAATCTTCATATCAGCAACCAGTGAAGAAGAGTTGTGTACAAATGGAGAACTTCTGGTCAAGAAATGTAATAGTGACTTGTCAGAAACATTTCCTGAGTCATGGCTCATATCCAGATTATTACTGAAGTCTAATATTGCTAATAATAATAATAATAATAATTATTATTATTATTATTATTATTATTATTATTATGGAAGTTGTAGAACCTCTTATGACAGAAAACCATCCTCTGCCATCAAATTTTGCTGACAGCTGCAGAGAGGCCTTTATCTAAACTTAAACTTACAAAAAACTACTGTGAATCAACTTCTCCCAAGCGTGTCTAAGTGGTCTGTTGGTAATTTTACTGAAAAATAAGTGTGCCAAAAACCCTGCATATCCCAAAGATAGTAAGTATATTTGCTGAGGAAAAGGCACAGAAGAAAAATGTTTGAGCAACAATTTCCAACTCTGCTCCCATGGCTTTCACCTGCACAGGGCCAAAGATGATGTTGTTGGGCTCCAGCCACTGACCTAACTGGGTCATACAGGATGTGCTGTACCTGAGGTCATGCAACACGCACAGGTAACATGGCTACTACAGAAGGAAAGGAGGGAGAAAGGAGGACCAGTCAGCTCTTTCATGCCGTGCCCTGCCCTGCCTGCCTGTCTGCCTGAAAGGGGAACTATTGGTGCTGTTGTTTTAATTTTTAAACAGTTGGCTTGGCTTATTGAGTTGATCTGTGGTTTATTGTTGTTGTACTCTGTGCATGTTCTTGGTCTCAGTCTGCATTTAAAAATGAAAAAAAAAAAAACCACTGCTGTAGTTTGGTTGATTACTGAACTTGGTGTTGTTTATGCTATTCTTATTGCACTCTGTACATATATTCTTGGTGTCATCCTACATTTAAAAATCGCCACAAAAGGTTACTGTTTTAGTTTGATTGGCTGCTGAGTTTGGTTATGTTTATGTTGTTAGTCTTGCACTTTGTACATGCTCTTGGTTTCAGCCTACATGGTATGCAAAGCCCATCTTCTTTTCTTTGCCAGGTGCCCATTCGACCATAGCCATTCCCCTGGAGGGCAGCAAGTACAGATTTGCCCCCAAATGCCCCCTACCCCAGATAAAACAGTAGAGGTCTGCTCTCCTTCCCTGTTGGAAGCCAGAAAAGAAGTTAAATTCAGAATCAAGAAGGGGGGAAGAGGTAGATATGCAAAGAACTCAGGAGACAAAGCACAGAGGAGAAATGCTGGCAAAAGCTTGAAGTTTTCTGGTTAAGTTCAATTCATTACATTCAGAGATGAATGCAGAGGTTTGGTAATAATAAAAACATCCTGGACATAGAAAATTAACATAGCGAGGAGAAAAACTAACTAGAAGAAAAAAAAATAAAATTGGAATATACAGATTATAAAGGAATAAGGATCTATTTTGAGCAGTTGAAAAATAGTAGCAATGCATTCTAATTACATCACAGTGCTGTCAACACCCAGGCCTAAATACAGCATACAGAATCCAAGTGCCAAATATGTGTCTGTGCACAGAGAGAAAATACAGCTTTGGGACAGTCTATCCAGCCACAAACTCCAGAAGCAGCAGGCATGCTCCCGGGATGATCCAAATAACAGTTCTTAAGGGCATCTCCTGTAGGGACTGCCATGTTCAATACGACAAAAACCACTTTTATGTTGAAAGTCATGATATTTCAGAAAGCTGCAACAGGAAATGCCATGGAAAACTTCAACTCTTGGATACACTGAAACTCTCCTTCTTATGCACAATTGAAATGAACCATTATTAAATCCAAGGAGCTTCAGATGGAGAGTGCCACATGCAGATGCTAAATTAATGTTCATCACATGCTCAACTCTATTCCGTGTGCCCTGGATTGAGACAACGAGGCAGGTGTGCATTTTAAGAGCACACTGATATCAAGGTGTTTCTTCCTTCATTTCTACATTCCACTGTATGTCCACAGAAACTTTGCAGCAAGGAAGAACTGATGGTTCAGATTCATAGAAGCAAAGGAGTAACATTACTTTGTGGTTTTATTCCAATGTATTTGTTACAACTTAAAGATTAAAAAAAACACACACGCACAGAAAAAAGAGGAAAGTGAACCTTTGTGGTCCAGTGGGCACAGGATGGGAAAGAAAGCACATGCTTTACCCAGCCTGGCAGAAACCAAAGAGTGTTCCCTGGGGGATTTAAGGGCGGAATGGAGGTGTGCTGGCAGAAGAGGTAGGGAAAACATGGTGGCCAGATCTTGATGGACTCCACAGTCTTTATGGCAATCATTGGATCAAGAGTAAGGGAAAAAAAAGGAAGCTGCTGATCAGCTGAGAACAGAGCTGCTCAGCAGACCAGGATGAAATGAGGTGAGCCAGGTGCTGTAGCCAATCGGAGCTGGGGGTGTTGCTAGACTAGAATGAAGCAAGTAGACCAAGCTTATGATGACCTAGGGCAGAAAACAGTATTTCTGAAGCAGAGAGTGGGTGGCCCATACTGGCAGTGGCCAAGCATGAAATGTGATCTGGCTTTTGATTCAGATTTAAGGGAGAGGATGCCTCTAGAAACTAAGATGTATTATTTGAGATGTCAAACTATAGTACACCTGAGCTGTGGTATTTGAAAACACAAAGCTGGGCAGGTGGCTAATATTTTAGTGGAGAGAGACAAGATTTTAAAAAAGAGAAGATTAAAAAAGATCTGGATAGGCTTGGCAGGAATAGGATGAAAGGGAGAAAGGTCAAGTTCTGCATTTGGGCAGGAAAAATGTATAGTATAGGATGGGGAGAACTGGCTTGGTAGTAGTACATGTGAAATAGATCTGGGTATCCTTGTTGACCACAAGTTAAATATGAGCCAGGGGTATAACACAGCTGGTAAAAATGCTGTTTTGGGGTATGTTAACAGGAGTATGAAATCCAGATCACTGGAAATAATTGTTCTACTCTATTTTGTCCTAATCAGCCTCCATTTGGAATACTGTGTCCAGTTCTGGGTACACACTTCAAGGGAAAAAAAAACACTGACACATTAGAACAGGTTTAGAGAAGGGCTATCATGATAGTGAAAAGCCTGGAAACCAAGGCCTATGAAGAACAGTTAAAGGATCTGGGTAACTTTAGCTTGCAGAAAAGAAGACTAAGGCAATATACAATAGCAATCTTCAGAAATCTGAATAGAAGAGGGGGATAGATTTATTCTATGTTGCCTTAGAAGGAAGAACTAAAAGTAATGGGTTAAAATTACAAGGAAACAGTGTCAGGCTGGATGTTAGGAAGAACTTCCTGACTGGATGAGCTGTCAGTCAGTGGAACAGGCTGCCACATGATGTGGTAAATTCTCTTTCACAGGAGGCTTGATGGTCATCTATCAGAGATGCTGTAGTAGATTCTGCAATGGGCAGGGGATTGGATTAGATGACATCTATTATCACTTCCAGCTCTATGATTCTATGATTCCTCCTTCAGCTAAGGCCCTGGACATTTGCACCCAAAGTTTGAGGATGATAGCAACACTGATAGCATCTGCCTTCATGCCTTTTTCCACACAGTAGAAAATCCATTCCCTCCAGATCTGCTATACAACGACTCAATTCCAGTTCCAAGAGTTGTTGTCCAGCAAATTTGGAAGGCACTAGATTGGGAAAGAGTGTCTCAGAGGCTGGCTGAACACTGAAAATTGAAATATTTATTTAAAACAACTTAATTTGGTTGATCTGATTGAGGAAGATGGTTCTTATATTCTTAATACTGCTAGTATGAAGGAACAGAGCTTCTCCACAGACAGCACTGCAGTCCTTTTAGGCATGTTATTATCATTAGTAAAGTGGGGTTTTTTTAAAGCTTTGTCCATGTTACTTGCCTATTTTGAATTCTAGATGAAAATAATAACTTTTTCTGCAAGTTTTTCTATGTGGATGATAGGATGCTTTAACAGGCTCAGATGGAAAAGTTCACATGAACAAGCGAGTAACACTAGTGAGGACAAACCAGATCACATACTACATTTCCTTGTCTCTTCTTTTAACCTGTCCTCCTTGTTTTGCAGCATCCCCCAGCAAGGAAACAAATAGAATTAATACTTGCTGTCCCATGTGCCTTTCTGAAGGAACACAGAAACAATAACTCATGTGAAGAGAAGGGGAACTAAGCCAAATGAAAGGACATCTAAGATAATGTCCATGCTGGGGAAATGCAAGGTCTGTAAGTGAGCATGAATTCTTGAAATCCCAGAAAGAAAGGGCCAGAAAGCACACTTTGGCTTCAGTAGCCTTCTCAGAATAGAGGCTCCAATTGGAACTCATTAGTTCCCAAACTGTACAAGCTTATCCCTTTGTCTCAGGATACATTAAAGCAAGGGAGGAGGATATTTTTGAAAACGTTGAGTGACACAGTACAGTAGAACATCAAAAATGTGGCTCCAAGGAGAATATAAGTCTTCTGGGGAATGACCCAGCATCCCCCAGCACTACTGGCATGATTGCTCACAGCTGGAAAAAGAGAATGAGGGTTGGCAAGTCCTTAACCATCCATTATGATCCATCCAGCTTCTCTGAGAAAGAGAAGAGGAAAGGCTTATCAGGTTCTAGCTACAGAATTAGTTTTCAGGGTAATGATTCATGGCTGAAAACCTCAATATAATCAAGAGGTTTACATAAGCCTGGCCCTTCCCCTTAGCTACCCACAGCTATCTTTCACAAGCCTGGAATTAGAGGGGAAGGAATGAGAGGTCACAGTTAAAATTCCAGCTTCAGCATATCTCATTTTTCAAGATGAGTTTGCCTGTTTTCTTCCAGCTCTAGAAGTCTGTTCTAGAAGTGGATAAGAATGAAGGGATCTTCGGAAGTCAAGGGGCCGGCCAGACATTTACCTAACACTGACTTAGTCCTAAGCTTCATTGCACTCAATGGGTCTTACATATGAATATGTATACATAGGATTGCATTGTCAGACTTCAAAAAGGCAGCAGGGAGAAAAGGTTTTTTGAAGTTATTTTTCTCTTTGCTGTGCTTCAGCAAGGAGCAGCCCTTAACAGAGCATTCGTAACAGGAGCCATGGGGCTTCATCCAATGCAGTAGTGCAGGAATGGAAAATGGCATATTAACAGGAAAGTAAAAGTCTCCTTGGACTCAAGCTCAACCCCTGGCAAATTCATGGACATGTTCAGGTAGTTTTATTGACAGTGATATAGAAGTGATTTGCCACTGCTTTCTCCAGATTTTTTTTTTTTAACTTCTCAGTCTAGCCTACAACTCTGACATTTCTCGGTGGTGTTCTTTCAAACACTAACCAGTTCCCATTCTGCTTATTTCTTGGAGATCAGCCAAGCTTGCCTAAAAGCTGCCGCCTAGCCAGGCAATATACTGGGATTTCAATCTATTGATTCACTTGTATGATATCTAACAACCTGGTTGTATTTCTTACTGAACTAAGACTAGTTCAGTAGGTCCTATTCCAAATTGCCTAGGAGCAAAGCCTATAGAATGGAATGCTTATTTCAGAGTAAAAATGTTTAGGATTGCATTTTAAATGTTGTTGAAACAGTAGCTAGTTTCACAAACTGTACGGGTTGCTTGGTTTTGCTATTGTTTGTTATAGGAACCCCACTGTTGTGATTTATAATTTGCATCCAAGGCAGTCACAATTTCTATGTTGCAAAACCCAGAATTAGTGACTTTCCAGGTACAGATAGAACAGCGAACCTTAAGTAAACCTCTATTCTTGGTAAAACAGGTATGTAAAAAGATGGTCAGCATGTGGTTAC